TTTTTTTTTTTTTTTTTTTTTTTTTTTTTTTTTCCGAAGAATCACATACCTTGTTTAGTGTTTTACCTGCATAGTTTTGTGCAGGTTATATTTCTTTTTTGCCATGTACTTGATTGATTGATTGATTGATTGATTGATTGATTTTTCATTATAGGTCTCATGAACTTATGTCGGTTAAGATGGTTGACCATATTGTTGATGAGCACCACATTGATATCGATTCTGGAATGATAAAAAGAGTTAAGGTACACTTATATTTTACCAATTATTATGTACTTCTTTCTGTGCATATAATTCTTGCATTGGCTACTAAGATGCTTAAATAAAAAAGAGAGACGAAAATATTGGCCTACTGTTATGATGCCTAACTATAAAGCACCGACACTTGTAAAATGACCAAGTGTAACACCAACACACTCCAACGCATTGTCGACACATATATTTAAAAAATATATACACATGTTTATAAAGAAATAAAAATTAAAAGTATTAAATGTTATTAACATTTCAGGGTGTATATATATTTTTCTTAAAAAATTAACATGTCCTCAACGTGCCGTGTCCTATTTTATTGGAAATTGACGTGTTGCCGTGTCCATGTTTTGTCCTACATTTTTTGGAAATTGTTGTGTCGTGTCGCATCTGTGTCACATGTTTGTGCTTCTTAATTGCTAATATGTTAAATACTCTAATGATTTAAGGTTTAATGTTGGTACTTGTTGACATTGTCAGGATATGATACTATCTAGTTCTGAATTTACTCGGCCAAAGGTAGTAGTTTTTATTTTTATTTTTTATTTTTGGGAATTCCTTGCAGGAAGAAGTTTTGATAAATTGAGTTAATGAGTTTTATGCGTGATAAATAGGGTTCAAGGGAGAAGGGATTCTTGTACGACATTGTTGCAAATGGACGAAATGGAATTGATGTGGACAAGTAATTGGTTGTTGATTTTCAAATTTAATATTTGATTACGAGTCTTCCAGTTGAAACATTACAATTACTTTAGGTTTGATTATATTGTTCGTGATTGTCGAGCTTGCGGTCTAGGGTGCAACTTTCAGTTTCAGAGGTATAGTTGTAATGTCTTTGGCTTTTAGTTTTGTACTTTTTTTTTTGTTGTGGGGTTGTGGAATTTGATTCAAGGGTGTATTGTTCAAGTGTTGTCTGTGCTTGCCATGCAGGTTAATGGAGACTATGCGAGTTATAGATGATGAAATATGCTATAAGGCGAAGGACTGTTAGTATTATGAGCCTGATCTGTTTATTTGATTATAGTTGGCCTTTAAAGTTGTAGCTTATGAGTTGTGATATTCCAGATCTTACCATTCACAAGTTGTTTTCTACTCGGGCTGATTTGTATCGAACAGTTTATATGCACCCAAAAGTTAAGGTAAAAATGGGGAGAATAATACTTCAATCAAATTAATAATTTGTCTTTATGCTAATTCCTCCTTCCCTTGCCAATGTTTATTCTCCTTTACAAATTCTACCCCTATATACTTTTTTTTTTTTTTTTTTGATAAAAGGACTTGAAATATAAAGTTTTCTTATAAAATTTTCTTCTGCAAATGCAGGCCATTGAGCTTATGTTAGTTGATGCTTTGTTGAAGGCAAATGATTATCTGGAAATTTCATCTCACATCCACGATCCTTCCCAGTACTGGAAGGTTTTGAATACTATTTATCAAATTTCTCATGCTCGTGATAGTTTTTCTGTGCTTGTTGTTCACTGTGTTTCTCTTATTCTTTTAAAATGCAGCTAGATGATTCTGTAGTTAAAACAATTGAGACAGCGTCAGACCAAGAACTAAAGGAATCTAGGGATCTTATCTTGCAAATCCGGAGAAGAAATCTCTACCAGGTTCTGACCTTTTTTTCACTATTCCTTTTGGACTTCAATGTTGCATAAAGGCAAAGTACTGTAGATTTATGTGGATGTATACAAAGTGAAGCTTAAACTGTGGACCTTTCTCCTTTTCCAGTTTTGTAATGAATATGCCGTCCCAAAAGACAAACTGGAAAATTTCAAGGATGTAACTGCTAAAGATATTGTTTGTTCTCAGGTTTTCTTCTTAAGACTTTTTTTTATCCTGTAGTTGGCTTTGGGGTAACGAAGTAGAGTCTGAATTTTAGCATTGTTTGTGATATCATTGTTTAGAAAAATGGTGGAGTGATGCTACAAGAGGATGATGTTGCTGTCAGCAACGTTAGGATCGACTTGACACGGGGCAGAAATAATCCTCTTGAAAGGTTGTTGAGAAAGTCTAATCATTTTTTTTGGGGGGGGGGNGTCCTGATGCAGTAGTTGTGATAAATTATTTGTTGCTAACTTGATCTCTCTTTTGCGTGATTAATCCCAGGATCCATTTCTTTAAGGTACATTACTTCACCCATTATCCTTTCGAAACCGAGCTTATGAGATATTGTTATGTGAATCTTTGTCGTTATTCAATATTCTAAAATTAATATTATAGGTGACATAACATGATATCTATATAGTCAATGATGAACCAATTGGGGATTGTTCACTGGTATAAATATTTCTTGTCATGTCAAATTACATGTTACTGGACTCGTGTTGTTATTCTTGCATTGGTTGACATTTGATTCCTCGGTTTGAACAAGAATCTATTTGGCAGGATGTTTTGTTTTGTCATCTATCTATTTGCTTTTTATAAGACTCAGTTTCACTCAGGACTATGAAAGCAACGATAAATTCAAGATTTCTGATGATCGCATAAGCCACTTACTGCCAACATCATATCAAGATATGATAGTAAGGGTGTATTCAAAGAAACCCGAACTGGTCTGTGTACTTTGATGCAAGACTACTGTTATAATGTTTTTGTTTGTTTCCAAACTTCAATACTTTTCCATATAATTTACAGGTAGAAGCCATTTCAGAAGCATTTGAAAACTTTCAGTTGAAAACTTATGGGATTAAAACACAAGTGCACGCAACACCGGAGAAGAAGAAACGTCGCATTTGATTTTCCTGTTGTTGAGATTACTTAATATTCTTTCACAAAAAGACTGATACTACTAATCTTCACACAGACATGATTATATAGGTTCGTGATTTTGACATTTCCTCCTGGAAGCTAGATTCACGAGGAATTGTACACGGCATACCGTAGCGATTTCAAACTGGTTGAGCTGGAGGATCCTGCCACGAATTAGTTTTTGGTCAGCAAGTCTTATTGTCAACCTTTTGGGACAATTGCTGAAGATTTTGTACCTGCGCAATGCCCAGATGTTGCCCAGCAGCTTTAGTTTGTGAAACTATCTTTGACAAGGTTTTATTTGTACTTCTGTCTTTTTGAATTCAGTATTTTACTTCTTACTATTCTCTTGTCTGTAATGCCAAGTACAGCTCCTATAAAGTCATGTCAATATATAACAATATTATCCTTCTACAATTTTAGTACTGCTTTTGCGACACCTTTATTATTATTTTGCATTTTTGGTTCTCTTAGTGAAGATAGTGGGGAGAGGGAAAATGAGTTTAAGTTATGGCGGACACCTACCTCTCCTCCCTAGGATTGAATATCTTAGAAGTTACCATGTCAACCAGATGGATATACTAGAGTAAGACAATTGTTTCATGAGAACAGTCGAGATGTGTACCAGAGTCAAGGTACTTGTAGATGTGTAAAAAAAAGGCTGGCAGGTTGGATTGGTAGAATATTCTAGATTTGAAGATTTATTCAGAAAATGCAGGTGTTTTAATATGTTATGGGAAAGTGTAATAGAAGACGTATATTAGATAAACGTGTTTGATAGTTAAATGTAGATCATATATTTCTGTGTGGTGATGACTTTGGTGAGATAGGTTTCTTAGAGTGACCTTGTAATAGTCCGAGCCCACTACTAGTAGATATTGTCCTCTTTGGGCTTTTTCTTCCATGCATCCTCTCAAGGTTTTAAAACGCGTTTGCTAGGGAGAGGTTTTCACACCCTTAAAAGGAATGCTTCGTTCCCCCACCTTTAACCTTGGGGACCTAGTCCTCGCTAGCACTCATACTCATCTTCAATTGATGTGGGATCTGACAGACCTTCTATAGTCTCCCAAATCCAGCCTACTTTTTCCATAGGTAAAAATCCAGCTCACAAAGAAAGCTGTAAATATAATCTGATTGTGCCGCCATTTGTAATGTCGTAAAGGCTAAGCTATTAGAATTTTGAAGAACTTGCAGGTTTGTGGAAAAGTGTGAATCTTGATGCATGGGAAATTCACGAGGCGCCTAAAATCTCAACCGCCCATCAAAGTCCAACCCACAGGAAACAGGTACATAACTCTTAAGCCCTGTGACTCTCCCTCCCCTTTAATTTTCTTCTCTTTCAGTGCCCTCTTTTAAGTCAAAAAGGTAAGGCATCACGGGTCTTTTCCTTCTTTAGCTGCATGAAACAAATTACTTAATTTGCTCATTTCCATGTCTACGCTGTAATTTTGGTCATTGCAGTAAATGGTAACTTTTTTTTGTTCTTGTTCACTCCCCTTTGTTGACTATACTTTTAATTGTTTAAAATTAAAATTTACTATACACTGTTTAACACAATTTACTATACACTGCTTAACACTAGGAAGATAGTAAAATTATTCTAGCACGATAGAGATTTATTACGCACAAGGTTAAAGGAAGTTGAATTACAAATTTAGTTCATATACCCGAGATTACCTGAGATTGTTTATTTAATCTCTTTATTCTAAAATGTTTCAGTCATGATTCTTATTAGTTTTTCACATTAATATCAATGCTTAAATGTTGACATACCTTATAGATTGCAGATACGACATACAATACTCGAGGGTAGACCAATTAGATCAAACCAAGTAAGAATTTTAAGTATACCCGAGATTACCCGAGATTGTTTATTTAATAATCTCTTTATTCTAAAATGTTTCCGTCATGATTCTTATTAGTTTTTGACATTAATATCAATTCCTAAATGTTGACATGCCTTATAAATTGCAGATACAACATCCAATACTCGGGAGTAGACCAATTAGATCAAACCAAGTAAGAAATTTATGTTTGGTATTGCATTGAAAAATTGATTATTAGTCCAATTAGCATGTCATTTAATGTTTAAGTAGAGATTTATTAAATTAAAGTTGAAGGTCAGTAGATGTTTATTGAAATCAAATTGTAAAGTAAGATTAAATGATAGAAATATTAGTTGATGCTTAGGAGCTCTTGATTAGCAAAAAATATTCTAGAATAAAGCGATAGAAAGATACTTAGAACTCTTTTACAGTGACAGAAATAGTGGCAAATAGAGGCTATATTGAAATGTGCAGATTCTAAGAATAAATATATAATGACGAGAATCGTATTGCTCCCCACTGGAATAGCATCTTCTTATTCATTATTTAAATTTCAATGCCTTTCTTATTTTTTAGACTGAAAATTCATAGGTCTCTTCCTTCACATCAATAACATTCTTTGTACTATCTTTCATTTGAAAATATGTTAGAACATTTCTCCTTTTTGACTCCTTTTTGGAGACTAAAGTGGGGCTTTATTTCACCACAAACATTGGAGCACATTTCAGTTCTAGATTCTTAAATCATAATTGGAGATTTGATAAAATCTTACATATCTAGCTAGCATACCTTACCTATATTGATTGTTCATTGTTTGGAGTAATAGCTTCGAGTTTGAGAAAGATCTTTATTTAAATATGCTGCATCTTTGATTTCTAGTCTCCTGCATCAATAGAACTGAGTTAGTTATCATAGATTGCTTTATGAAGGCTGTTTGTTTTTTAGCTTATTACGGTTCAAGACATTGTCAAGACATTGTCATCGAAGTTTTTATTGGGTTAGTTATTTGATAATATGGTTAGAAACTTTGAATATTGAAAATCCTTATTAAGAATCTTCTATTCGATTGGATAGACATACAGTCACAACAAATATCAAGAAATCGAAAGACATACAAATCATTAGAAATTGGTCGTCTCAGTGTACACACTTATGAAGTAGTATTATTCCCACCTATAATGACAAGTAATTTCTCCCAAGTAATTCAACTTTCATGCACACAATTAGGTAGTTTTCTTATGTCCTATGTAATTCTGTGCACACAAACAACTTTGGTAAGTACTATGATGTCTAGGCACATATTTAGGTAATTGTCACACACAAATTAGACTAAAGTAATTTTCATGCACAACTATGTATATTATACATGGCTAGCTTATCGCCTTACACACCACTAGATGTTAATTTCCATAAGTTAAAGTAAAGTCTTCCAAACTCTCGGTTATGTGTCACTAGAAATTGTTTGTTGAACATATCACAGGGTCAAAGTTAGTATAACTTTTCATGATATTTACTTGTATAATAATATCATGAGATGCTACCACAATTGAGGCTCGACACTACTGAGTATCAATACTCATCAATTGGTGTAAAGTCTTCCAAACTCTCGGTTATGTGTCACTTGAAATTGTTTGTTGAACATATCATGGAGTCGAAGTTAGCATAACTTCTACGTTCATGATATTTACCTATTTAATATCATGAGATGCTACCACAATTGAGGCTCGACAATACTGAATGCCAATATTTATCAATTGGTGTAAAGTCTTCCAGACTCTTGTTTATGCATCTCTAAAGATTGTTGAATGTGTCACGGAGTAAAAGTCAATATACTTTCTACGCTAATATTATTTTTGATTTTAAAAAGCTAAACAAATTTTGAAGGAAAAAAAAATAATAATCTAAACATAAAATTTCCTTTTTAAAAATATTTCTAATTTGCAATTTTGCATAATAATTTAAAATTAATTTGGATTTAGATTTTTTTTCCCCAAAATTAAAATAAGTTCAAACAAATCCTGAATTAGTTATTTTCCTCCCAGCCTCGTAAATCCACACAAAATTAAAATAATAATTCAGCATCCTTCAATCCCACAGCGTCCGTTTTAACAGTTTTCCCACATTCCGTGCTCCTCTAGAAGACCGAGCTATAAAATATAGAGGCAACTTTTTTTTTTTTTTTTTTTTTTTTTTTTTTTTTTTTTTTTTTTTTTTTTTTTTTTTTTTTTTTTTTTTT